GGATCAGAGTGGGAAATCATACTTCGCAAAGTTGTTAAAAAAAAGAAGCAGGCCAGCTACTAGTGGTGTGGCCAAAGACGGGAAGGACACATGTCTTCTCAGATCAGAAGTATGGGAAAGGGCCTCTTGGGTATCTCGCAAGCAGACCTTAGGGGGCAGGGTATGGAAAGTGCTGGTTGGAGAAGCAGCAAGTAAAAAATGTCCTTGACGTTTTAGTTCTCTTCTGTCTGTCCTTTGTCACAACGTCTTATGGACTTCAAGAAGCCGTGTTCTGAGACATTTGAGAAACTGGCATTGGACAAGTTAAAAAGTTTCTTTTTGTCTTTTTTTCAGCCAGTTTGTCCTTTGCTAGGGTCAGCCTTCATGTGAGTATTGATGCTATTGTCCTGCTGTCTGCAGGGCATATACTTTGAGTTGGACTTATTGTAGTGATGATGAATTAAGCTCAAGTTAGTAAAACTTTCTTGCAAGTCTCCCTTGTGAGTATGGCTTTGCATTTGTGGAAAAATTATAAGATTTCTTGGAAGACAATGTATTTGCTACAGGATTGATGAGACTGAGACAGTCCATGACTGGGATATTAATTTCTGTTCATGCAAAGCGGAATTATTGTTGTCTTTCTTTGCTTTTGAATACCATATTTAAACTCCACTCATTTCTCATTAGTACTGTTCTACTCTCATTTTACTTATAGACAAAATACTTAATTACCAAGCCAATTCTGGTAACCATGACTGGGCCAGGGCTCCAATTCCCACAGAGAAGACAGATTAGGATGGTTCTGAGAAAAAATATGAAACATTCTATAGCAAAAGTATGAATGGATTTTATTAAGAGACATGAAAGAAGGAAAGGATATTTCCAATGAGGAAGATGGCTGGGGATAGAAAGGGCTTGAGGTAGGAACTGGAAGAGATGTAAACTTACAACAGGCACAGATGAGGAAAGGCATCTCAGCCATAGGGATCAACTCAGCACACACAAGTCAGAGCAATACGCACCGAGACTGAGTGAGGCTGTATGAGGAGCTGCTAAGACAGGGGGCTGTGGTTTAGGAAGACTGACGTGCTAGCTGGAATTGCACCATGGATGGCCATGACTACCAGAGCAGAGAAGATGGGAAACCAGACAATGATTTTGGAAAGGGGACTTGATCTAGGAAATAAAAACAGTTCTGGAGGAAGGATGCAGACTGGGTGACATGGGTGAAGGTGGCAGGTGTAGGACAGATTGCATCTGGAATGTCCAATCAGGAAGCTTCTGCAACCCCTCAGGTGACAACTGATAAGGTCATAACCTAGGCCATTGGCAGTGAGAAAGAAAAGGGGATCACAGACTTGGGAGATGAGAGAGCCTGACAAGAAGAAGGTATGGACAGCCCTGATGCTGAATGAGTCAGAAGTCTAAAGGCGGTGATGAGTTTTTTTTTTAATAAGATGAATAACTCATTTTTGAATATGTTAAATTTGTGTGTGTGTATATCCTGCAAATGAATGAACTTGTTCCTTGAGAATTGAGACAGATCTAATTTCCCTGTGTAGTTCTAGCATACAGCAAAGCATTTATTTAATTATTTGCTTATTCATTCAACCAGTATTGATTAAATTATTCACGCCTATCAGGTACAGGGCCTGGTGTGTCGTAGGAGTTTAATTATCATTTGCTTAACTGAACTTTTGTAGATTCCCACATGGTTGTCTTTATACTGAGAATATCTAATTGGTAGACTTTAAGAAGACCATTATTAGTTTAGGAGTCAGGGCCAAAGGATGGAGACATAATTATATGTAAATGTTCTATGGGAGTTAATAAATACGACCTGATCATGGAGTGTCCACTCTGCCTCTGCTGTGCTCCTCAATGTAGAAGTGGGTAATAAACCCAGAGTTTGAAGATCTTATGTGTGTAGACATTTTCCAAAGGTAAAGAAAGGGTAGAATGGGTGAGCTGGGAGAGTTGCTTGAGTATTTACGCCTAAGTCAAAAGCAGGTACTCATAAGATTAGCTATATTTACAACTCTTTTTGAGGGGGTATAACTTAGTATTTTCTTTGTACTTTTAAGTTTGACTTTTCTTTAAGTGTTGACATTTTTTCAAAATTCTAATCTGTCTTTGTTAGGTAAGTGAAGAAAAACAAAGTTAACTTCAGACATTTGTTTCTTTCCTGGGGTGAAATTTTATGTGGAGAGTAACCTATATTGGGAGCTGAGCATGGTGGTGTCAGGTCCTAGGTAGGAACAGGAACGAGGGAAAGCAAAAGTTTAGCGGTACAGGCAGGCCTGCTCTTTGGAATCATTTTCTCTCAGAGAGTTCCTTTTCCAAGAGTCTTTGCTTGGCATAGGTAGTGCTGTGTAGTAAAGTAGACGAGTACAGACTCCAGTCAAAAAGCCAGAGTGGAGGAGTCTCAGTGAGGTAAGTTTTGTGCAAATTATTTGCTCTCTTTTGGCTTTCATTCCTTGTTTGTAATGGAGATACTAATCATATGTGCTGCACATTGTGACATACTAAATGATTTGCCTGATTAATATGCTGTTCTCTATCCCTCCCCTGGAATGTTAGTTTCAGGGAGATAGAGATCTTTTTAAGCCTTGTTCCCTTATGAATCCCACATGCTGGGTACCTGGTTTCTTTGAAAATAATGCCAGGATAAAGGAAGATGGGACTGTGAGAAATGATTAGGGGTGAAGGAAAAAGGCAAAGTGGCATATGCTCCTGAAAGTCAACGCAGAAAGAGGTTTCATGAAGAAGGTGGTACCAGGGTGCAGCACCGAGGAGAAAGAGAAGACGGGAGTCCCAATGGTAGCTCTTTGGCTTTGATAATTAGGAGCATATTGGTGCTTTAAAGAGCCCCGTTGCCAACTCATACTGGCAGAAATACCCCAATAGTTGATGGAGAGCTAAAGAAATGGAAGGATAGAGTGACTGACAGTGAGTTACAGCTAGGTTTTCTAAAGTTTGGCAAAGGAGAAGAACAAGATGAGATTTTGTCTTGATGACCAAAAGAGTTAAAAGGATGAGCCAGTATTTTTTTTTTAACCAAAGAAGTAAGATTCTAGGAAGAGGTGGAAGAATTGAAGAGAGGCAATGATCCTTAAACTAAGTACCTGAGGAGGATAGTGCCAGCCGGGAAGGACATTTCTTGTTGAATGTGGGTAAAGAGGGAAAGCAGTGTGGAAGTAGGCAAATTTGAGACTTAAAGATAATTGAGAGAGCTTAAATTGAAGTGATCTGTCATCTCAGGGAAGTAAGCGTTGAGATAATCTGGCTGTGATTTGATTAGGGCTGGAGAAGAGCGAAAAAATATTGAAAGAACAAAAAGGAAAACTCACTAGAAATCCATAGAGATGGCCAGTAGGATTGCTCAGGGGACTGAGGTGGGATCAGATGGCATGGACATGTTGCAGGGCCAGGCTGTTCTGTTTTACAGCTTGTCCTGCATAATGCTCAGTGTTCAAACTGGGGACCAAGCTGGGTGTGGTGGTGCATGACTATAATGCCAGCGCTCCAGAGGCTGAGGCAGGAGGATTGTAGCAAGTCTGAGACCAGCCTGGGCTACACAGTGAGCTCAAGCCCAACCTGAACTACATAGTGAGACCCTCAAAAAAGCAAAAAACAAAAAAACAACAAACCCTCAAAAACACAAAAAACAACAAATAAACCCAAAACACCAATAACAAAACACAACCACCCCCAACAATCCCCACAAACAAGCAAACAAAATGAGGATCAGAAGCAAAACTCCTGACTGGAATGATGTGAGGTTAAAGACAGGGCGGGTGTGGGGGTGCACTGCTGTAACCCCAGCCCTTCCTGAGGCTGAGGCAGAGGACTGCATATGCAAAGCCAGCCTGCGCAACTTCATGAAATCCTGTCCTGCAACAAAAATTTAAAAAATGTCTGGGGATGTAGCTCAGCAGTTGAGTGTCCCTGGGTTCAACCCTCAGTACCATCAAACCAAAACAAACCAAACTAAACCTGAAAGAGAGGCTTGTAGAGGGGCAACTGGTTTCCAGAAAACCAGGATCCTGATGAAAGTATGATAAAGTAGATAAGAGTACTACAGAATTCTGTGTGGAGGTAAACATCAGGGAATAGAAAGCCTTGGGGGGAAGGACAGTCAGTAACAGGGAGAGACCCAAAGATGGAGGGAGGGGAACAGGGCACAGAAAGAATGAAAGTGTGTCCTGTGTGTGTTCCAGCTCCCCATGATGAATGGAATCATTGTGTTCTAATAAAAATTAAGCAAAAGAAAGCCAGAGGACAAAAAAGAAAGATGTGGCAGGAATGGGGAAGTTAGGTGTGTTTATCTGATTTAGTAATTTGTTTTTTAAAAATCATGAAAATAATGAAATCAGAAACTGTTATGGATTAATTGAATAAACAGCACCTGGCTGACTTTAGGGCATGCCAGGATCCTTTGGTGTTTCTGAGTGAAAACTCATAGTTGGGGTGGAACCAGTGGCAGAAGGCCTTTCTCCTAGATCCAAGTTTAACAGGAGGGAGCTGTACCACTTTTGTGATGCTCTTTGAAGTTAATCTTTGGAAAGAGAGTCTCAGCCTGAATTTTGCCTGGAGTTCTTTTGCAGAGAGCCTCTAAGTTACAGGAAGGTTTATACTAGGAAGTTTCTATTTCCTTTTCCTTGGGTTGTAAAAAGGGCAAAAGGAGGTGCCTTGAACAGAACACGAGATGTTGTCTTGCTAATTGTGACGCCACAAGTCTATTAGCTTTGTTAGTCTCATTGGTTACCATTAATTCGAATAAGTCTAGCACTGTCCAGTCACTTTTCTGTCAGCATTTAGGAGGTGATCTGGGGAATGTGCCCCCTTTTAAACTTGAGAGCAGTGATGAGGCAAATGCCTATTATGTCTGTTACCAAAAAACTACCTATAAAAAGGCATGCTCTCAAGGTAGAGAGACAGGTTCTGTCCAGCGGCCATTAGGTGGTGCTGCCAACCAACATTCCGGCCTCCTTAGCCGCTGCGGTGGAGTCTGCTGCCTTTAGTGCGGATACAATGAGAATATTATACAATTCTTTTACAAAATGTGGAAGTGGCTGAAAATTTGTTTTCATCTCTGTGAAGTTTTGGTGATTTTTTTCCCTTTCTCAAGAGTAGTTAGTGATTGCTGTGAAGAGGTTGTGCCTGAGAAGTGACGGTCAGACTGAAAACCAGCCTTTGATATTTGAACAGCTCTTTCCGTCTCAGAGTTCTCCCATGTCAGAGTTGCTGGAATAGAGCAGGTAAACCTTCAGAAACTGTTTGATTGGATAAATGAAATCCTGAATGTAGAGAAAGTTAATTAATTCTAAATCGGTGTTCGGGTGTACGCATTCTATCAAGGTTAGTTTACGAAAAAAGAGTTGTTATTTCTGTGAGAGAACATATGGGGCTAGTGATAAACAGGACACGGAATGCTACTCTATTCTTCTACTCGTACTATTTCATGTTTATTACAGAATTTTCCTTATTGCAAAAAATTTAAAAACATAAAGAAATTTTTATAAATATATTCTCACTTTTTTAAATGATGACTTCATGAAAGAATTTGTTCTCCTTTAAATATTCCTACATACACTGCTTTTTCCCCAAAAAATGTTTTTCCCCCAAAGCATTTATTTATTTTTAATTGACAGAAACAAATTATTTTTTTTACAGTTTTTTTTAATTTTATCTAAGGAGAAAAAAGAAAAAAAAAACAGAAAAAGGGTACAAGTTATACAGAATTTCAGAAAAAATAAACAGTAGGAAATCACTAGTTAATTACATATTGTCATCTTAGAAATAGTTGTTGAAGTTACAAAATTAAAGCATATAGAGGGGACTTTCAAACAGTGAGACTGTAAACAGTTTGGTTCAATAATCCAACAAAACTCAGTAATATGGTTATCTATCTTATACACTTAAATATATATGCAGTTATATCTTTTACAGAACTTTCTTTTCCTTTCTTTTGTACAATGACAATTACACATTTTGGGTTTTATTACTCCCACAGTTCTTATTACTTTTTTTTTTTTTTTTTGAAGAAAGTAAAACCAAATGTGACATGCCAGGACAGAGTCAGTCAAATCAAAAGGATGGACATAATACATAATATAAAAACAAAATACAAGGTGATCAACAATGGTTACCATAATGCCTTTTGTTATCTTAAAAAGAATTGCCTATATCATCAGTTATAATAAAATTGAACAAAACAGTAAAGCATAAGACCAATAAAACCAAAACATTGGAGACATTAGAAGACTTCAAAAGAAGATAATAGTCAACCAGAATGGGCGTCACAATGGATCTTATTGTCTTCATAGTTGTTGCCTAGACTTTCAAACTTGGTACTATCCAGCATAACAGAATAGAGGAAAATCAGTCAAAACAAGATGGTGAGAGCAATACAAAGTTTCAAATCAAGTTAATAGGAAATCAAAGTGGGTTACTATAATATATCCTGCTATTTTTTATTTATTTTCCCTTAATTAAAAGGATAAAAATGAAAAAGTAGATAATAAAAAGGAGATTGAGATAAAAAAAGAGGGCATAACAACAAAACAGTACAGGTCAAAACATAGCCATTTAAGCAAAATAGTGGACAGAAACAAATTATATAGGTACATGTTTATGATGCAGAGTGTGAGTTTTGAAATGTGTGTATATTTGTGGAATGATTAAATCAAGCTAATTAACAAATGCTACCTCCCATAATTATTTTTTTTGGGGGGGGATTGAGAACACTTAAAATTTACTCTTAGCAATTCTTTTTTTTTTTTTTTTTTTGTCTTTTTCGGTACCAGGGATCGAATTCACGACTGCCTGCTTGCAAGGCAGGCGCTTATGCCGCTGAGCTAAATCCCCAGCCCCACTCTTAGCAATTCTTAACACTACATTATTGATAACTAAAATACTATGTTATTCCTCCTGTGTTTAACTGAAAGCAGTCAGAGGGGATTGAAGGGTCAGGCTTGCTGTTTTAAATCAACTCGGTCATGAAAGGGAAATAACCATGAACCCGTGAGAGCTGCACCCATTTTGAAGGCAGCACCCCCAGTGACCTTTACCAGACTCTTTCTCTTAAAAGTCCAATGTCTCTCAACTTTGCCAGCAAAGGACCAAAATTTCAACGCAATCAAACCATATCCAGACCACAGCAAGTGTGTACTACAGCAAACAAATCCACTTCTCCTTAGTGTGTAAACTGATCAGATCATACACGGCTAACATGTTCCAGTCACTTTAATGGTAAGGTAATAAGGTGGCGTTGTCGTGTTGTTTAATCACTGAAGATAACAGGTGGGTGTGGCTTCATGGGAATCAGTTACTGTGTGGCCCTGCCTTTCCCACTGTAACATGTAAACAGCTTCAGAATCACCACCCCAATCGTGTCTGATCTTTTGTATAGAAGCAGCATCTTGGAATGTAGACAGCTGATAAAACATGGTATATTTCATTTCCTAGGGTTTGAGAAGAGATTGCACTGAAGGAGTCATCAGCATTCCTGGTCCTGTCTGTGCCTTGCCTTGATTGTCCTCCAAGAGGGAGCCTCCTGTGTGCAGAGCCATATGCTCTACGGCTTTTCATGTGGTGAGGGTTCATCTGGGAGTAGTTTTGCCTCCATCTCTCAACATTTCTTTCATGGCTTCCAGATTAAAAGACCATATTCCATTGTATTTTTATCGTCTCTTTTGAGGGAGGCACGAAAACTGTCACTCTTTGTAGGGACGTATGTGCCATCTGACCTAGAAATAAATGCTAATGTCAGCCGATGGGAAAATCACAAGGAAGGACACTCACAGTCTTTCTGTGTCTTTCGGAGTGAGGATGCTGCTGGAAATAAAAGAAAGGAGGAATCATTTCAATATGACCCCAAGACGCCACCTCCTTTGGTATTACAATTCGTTTTCTTTGATAAAAATAAAACCTTTGGTCCTTTCTCCAGCGAAGTCATGGAATCATGATAGTAGGAATCAATCTAAGATTTTGACTAACCCTGAAACCCATGATTATACTCCCATTCATCAGCCTTGCCAAGTGGATCAAGACCTTGCCCCTTGAGTCTGAACTGTGAAGAATGTCCTTCCTTGACTCGTGCACGAGTGACATCCCCAGGGCGTTGTTAACGATGATCAGTTTCAGTTTCTTCGAGGGTGGGAAAGCTTACAAACTGACAAAGCAATCTAAGATTTGTGTTTTTCTAACTTTTCCTGATCATTTGTCCTCAGTCTTTTCACAGTCGTCTGGCTCACTTAACATGACAGCGTTCTTAAATGTGACTCCTCTTTACAGCCTCTTTCTAATGCATTTGCTATGGTTTTCATAGAGATGGTAGATCTTTGGCTATTACATTCATACCAACTATTTTCAAGAATATTTAATCGAATTACATAATTGCAGGAACAAATACAAAGAACATCACACTAGATTGAGGGAGCAGGGGTTGGGCATCATAGTATGGATGCATTCATGGGAGCCTGCTTGCTAGTTGTGAGAACTTAGCATTCAATAGATGATAAATAATATGTTTTGCAGAAGGTTGTGGGACCTCTGGTTAATCTTGCCTAGTTGTGTAGAAGCTGTTTAATAGAGAGTATTTAAATTGTTTTCAACAAGTACGTTGATCTTTGAAAGTCAGTGATCAACTCTTCCATATTTTATTTTATTAAACCAACCTACAGAAAGGTAGCTCTTAAAGCTGAGTATAGTGACAAACTTAATCCCAGCTATTTGAGAGACTGAAGCAGGAGGACTGCAAATTTGAGACCAGCCTGGCTAACTTAGTGAGACCCTGACTCTGAAGAAGAGGAGAGGAGAAGAGAGGAGAGGAGAGGAGAGGAGAGGAGAGGAGAGGAGAGGAGAGGAGAGGATGGAAGGGGTATAGCTTAGTGGTAAAGCATTTGCCTAGCATGTGCAGGGCCGTAGATTCAATCTATAATAACACACACACACACACACACACACACACACACACACACACACACGTAGTTTAAAGTCCCAATGTAAGCATCTTCGTACTTATTTTGCTATCAAGCCAGGAACTGATTAGGTAGCCCAATCTGGCCTGGAATGCATGATCTTCCTGCCCTGGCCTCCTGATTGCTGCCCGAACCACTATGCCTAACTTAAAATCCTTCAAACTCTAATATTGTCTTTGAAATTCAGTGAGTCTTTATTCAGGCAGTAGAAATGTATAAATCAGTAACATCTGCTTATTAAAACACATTTGAGTGCCTAGTATCTCAAATTATATAACTCCTTCAAGTTTCTTTTTTCCCCAAAGAGATATGTATAGAAACAATGGGAAGTATCTGCATTCAACAACAATAGCAAAAAAGCCCTCAGAGTAATTTAACATTGGCAATCAATACTGTGTGTCCCTGATTGAATTGAAAGGTGGAGATGAAGACTTTTATTGCTCCAGGTGGACTGAAAAATGTTGGTGCCTCACCCCGGCAGTCAGTCACAGAATCTCCAGTCACTATGAGTTTTCATTGCTTCTAATATTTTGTAGCTCTAGGCTACTGCCTGTCCTGCCTAATGATGGGGCCAACCTTGACCGGGAGCCCTCTGAACCTTTCCAAGGGCCCCTCTGGGCTTGCCCACTCCTTGACATCAGCCTTCAGAGTATATGAAATAGAAATCACAATGAAAGATTGGAGGACTTCACTGCATTCTCATCTGGCTAAACTCCTAACATTTCATGATTATGTTTGATTTTTAAGTCATTCCGAACTCCATCTGTAACTGTGCTTTCTTTTATCTTTTCTTGGCATCACAACCTTTACTACAAAGCTTATTTCAAGGGGAAATCTCTTAGAATTCAAATCACTTACTCTTGCTTCATGCTAGTCTGTTTGTTTGGATACCAGTTTGCAAAGATGTCCTTTGAATGATTCCTTTAAGTGAAATCAAAGTGATGCGGGGACTGAAAACTTTGATAACTGAATGTGTGTTTTATGCTACTTTAGGGATTCCTTTTGCAACTTGGTTGGATAAGGAGGAAAAAGGAACAATGAGAGATAAAGAGGGCCAAGGTCTTTGTTCTACACTGTTTGCAGAATTCAAAATTAGAACCAGGAAGGGACTCAGTGGATGTGGAAATTTGTAAGATCTTAGAAGCTACCTGGAGCCAGATCTGTGGCTATTCCTTGCTTTTGGAGTCAGATGCCTTGGGCTACATCAAATGAGATTGGGGCTTCTAGTCCTCAGAGGGTTTGTGAACTGCCCTTCCAGAAAACTTTCGAAGTAATGGTATCATTTTGGAGATTTCCAAGGCTTATTGTAGTAGACTCTGTCCTTCACACTGGCTGTCCCTCTGGGCATGCAACTTCCTCCCCTCCATCTGCAAACCTTTGGAGCCAGTGTTTTGGTTTTAAGGGAAGCTACTCTTCTTGATTAGGGGAGGAAATTTCAGCACAGGACTATAGCACGACTCTGCCATTATTTTCTTTCTATTAGAGTAAACTGATGTCTTATAATGACTGACAATAGCAGAAGTCACCAGATATTTATCACTTATAATGAAACACCAAAGGCTTAATGGACAAGTCAGGGCACATATATTTCTTTTTATCCTTCCAATAATTTGAATAGTTTCATCATCCTTGTTTTAAGAAGAAGAAAAATGAGGCTGAGAAAGATACAGTTCTCATGGCTGGTAAGTAATGGAGAGAAAATTTAAATGCAGTTTTATCTGGATCTCCAAACTAGTTACACTTAGGAGAAATTTATGGCTGTCAGAATATCATATGAAGAATCATTTGGCATTATTTGCTTTGAATTAGATCCATGCAAGTGGACCCCATTTCCTGGGAAGGAGGGCAACATGGCAGGATGGACACTTTAAATGAAATTATTGCATTATTTTCAGATCAGCTTGCATGCAGCTAAATAGACATCATACAACTATTATCACGATGTATTTATTCGGGAAAAGAGGAAAAACTTGTAGTTATTGTCTCACATGGGGAGAAGAATGAAGGAGACTGGAGGATGGCCTGTACCAGTGATGGTGAACTGATGGCATGCGTGCTGCAACAGAGAGGCCAAACCTTCTCCATCAGCACGAAGCCAAGTCGCCCTAAAATCACCCTAACATCAGGTAAGAGCATCAGGTAGGAGTGCCCATAGGGGCAGTTTGGCCTTTTGTGATAAATAAGCAGGATTGCAGTTTGGGCACCCAGTCTCAAACATTTGGCATCACTGGTCTCTACTAATATAGAGCCTCAGCCTCACTGCCTGCTCCCTGCCATCCTAGATGCCAATCTCAGAGATGCTTGGGGAAGCTGTGTAATTGGGGAGGTTGTTCTCTGTCACTTTGGAGGTGGGTGCCATGGCTGGCAGATGCTGGTCCACTTTCCATAGCTCAGCTTCTCCAGAGCTTGATTTTCATACCATAAGCCTTCAAGCCCACTCTCAGACAGGCTAACCGTCTCAGGCATTGAGAGTGATTTTCTTCACAAGTGTTTGCCAAGGTATATGCTATCACAAGGAATGACTTCACATATCATCACACAACATTGTGACAAATGTTTTTAAACAAAAAGTCCCACCCCAAAGATATAATTGCAAAGCTTCAAAGCAATCCAGATGGATTTTCTGACCTCTTTCTGCACCAACATTTCCTTTATGTTCTTTGGAAATCACTGGAGAGATTTTTATATCCACTCACATTTCAATCAGAAGATTTCTATATTGTGCCTTAGAGAATGATGTGTGCCACTACTGAACTAGAACTGCTTGGGACAACTATAAAGATGGAAAAGAACAACATGCTTGTCACATTTTCATTTCATTGTGTACATTCTTCACCTGCAGCTGGCCTCAATTATGTTTTAAAAAAATGTTACACAGCCGTTTCTCTGAGGTGGCACCTAAAGGCAAATACCCCCACCTACCACTCTGACACATCCTCTCAATTTTGGCAAGCCACCATATCCTTAATTCTGTTGTGGATAATAGTAAAAGATTGCTACTTATCCGAGTCATCTTTAGGATACAATAGACAAGCTCATTTTCAGAAGTTCTGGGAAGGCACCATTCCATTGTGAAAGATTTTCTCCATCTTTCACCCCCTCATTTTCACAGTTTCTATAGCAACACCTTGCTCTAATAGCACTTCTAGGATTATTACTATCATCACAGTTATTTCTCCTCTTATTGTTGCTTATTGTCATCAACTTAATTTTGACAGTCGGTTAGTCACATCCTGCTCCTAAACACCTGGCCTCTGGGGAAAGTCTCAAAAACAGTAGAAGTTAAAAAAATTAGAGTGTAATTCTCAAGAGATTGCCAGTGGTACAATTATCTTATATCAGGATATTTATATTTTCCTCCATTAAAAAAAAACTCCTCAAAGTCATTGTAAGCCTTCCAGAATGTTCTTTAGTAAGTTTGTGTGATGACAAGATATAGTTGACTGTTTTATTTTTAGAGGAACATGTGAGCTGGTGGGGAGAGGAGGGAATTACACACCAAAGCTTGTTAGTATTACTGATTTTCACAAAATGTTGGAAACTTCATATTAAAAGTTGATTTTTAGTAGAATATTGTCTCCTGACTTTATGCTAACTGTTGCTTGGCCCGTGAGCCTCCTTGAGGATGAGGTGGGGGTGGGGGACATACTGCCTCTGGGGGGAAGTGGAGTGCAGCATTTCCTTGTGGGGGCCAGTTACCCTTCAGGTCTGCTTACCCTTGGGTTGAAAGTCTGGAGCCTTCAGTTTGGTCTCCACAAGTTCTCCCAGCAGGGCTTCCCCTGGTGCTTTACTCTCTCTGGGCTCCTGGGTTGAAGCTGTCATTCCTACTGGGTTTAGTGAAACCTTAAGTGCAGAATTTGGCCTCTTCCACAGTGTGGAGAAGAAATTCTTATCAACCTAACCTAACCTCTCACAACACCCCTCTCTCTCTCTTCCTCTCCCCTCCCTTCCTTCCTTCCTTCCTTCCTTCCTTCCTTCCTTCCTTCCTTCTTTCCTTTCTTCCTTCCTTCTTTTCTTCTTTCCTTTCCTCCCTCTCTCTCCTTAACTACTGCTTTTGTTTTCTGCAAGCAACTTGGAGGATTTATTGGATGGTGGGAGGGTCACATCACAGGGAACTTCCTTTTGAAAACCATATCCTACTTTTGTTTTTTTCGTCTTGTTTTCTATTTCTTCTTGTAGTGTAAAGATCTCTTCTCCTTATTTAGGTCAGCAAGGTTTGAAAGGAATTCAACTTTCTCCATATGCTTTCAGTCTGTATTTAAATTTATATGTAGCACTTGAAAACCAAGGGGTAAACCCTTTCTTCAAAGGGAATAAAGACAAAACCTCAAGCTCATTTACTTTTTTGGTGTCACCAGACCTGGCCTCCACTCACTGCCCAAAGATCTGCCTTGTGACTTTCCAGTCATTAGGATGCAATCCAACTTGGGATAGGAAGTTGCAAGAGGTGGGCTGGAGTGGCGTGACATGTTCAGAGTCACCTCATCCAAAGGGAGTACAGACTGCTTAACACGTCTAGAGGCTGTCATGCCTAGGGGGCATGGTGTCCCAGGGTAGCTCACCTTCCTATGTTTAAGAATTTAGAGGTCTGAATATTTAATAAGATTTTCCCAGGATGTAAAAATTGGGGGCTACTGTTTTCCAAATTAAACTCCACAAGATGATATTTTGTTGACTGACAAACTGTGTAGGAGATAGACCAACCCGGCAGCTCTCTCATGGGCTTTTCTGGCCTGGACATTTGACAGGGAGGTTCTTCCAACCTTTCCTCGCTGTCTGTGTCTTCACTCAAACCCAGACAGGTTAAGTTTCTGCCCTAGAAGAAGCTTCCAAGGTTCATGGGTTTGAGAACCAGTCATCTCAGTGATTCCTGCTAAGCAGCTTAAAGGTTTGAGTGTAAACTGGAAAGTAAACATCATCCCCTGGCTTTGAATCAGTAGTGGTTTAAGAAATAGAACTTCTTTTTAATCTTTGGAAGAAGATTTTACAACAGTGTATCAATCAGAAGTAGAGGCTTTGGAAATCAACTACATTGGTTAAGGAATAGCTGTTTATTTTTGGCTGTGATCATGGGCAATGCATCTTTTTTAATATGAAAAAGAGGGATAATAATCCATTTTTCAGTACAATTACTAAGGATTCCACTGTTGATACTTATAAAGAACTTCAGAGAGTTCCTGGCACATAAGAGATACTCAATATATATTCGCCATATGAATGAATAGGATAAATTATTTCTGAAATTTAGTACTCAAAACTGACATTTTTCTGTTACCATGTAGCATATTTAGTGGACAGTATTACAGCAATTTTAGAGCTAAAGTTATGGGATTTTTGAAAGTGCAGGAGATCCTAGGCCTCATGCATAGTAGGCATGCACCGAGCCGTTTTCCTAGCCCTAAACTTAGTTTGAAATGCAGCAGGTGTCTCATCTCTGACTCACTATGTGCAATCCTTATGTTTTATGTCTTTGCTATTTCTTACCTTTGTGTACTTACATACATCTTTAAAAATCTGAGACCTCAAACCCTTTTGAGAAGCAGAAAAAGAGCATGATAAATTCATGAAGTGTAGGCTAACAGATTGGAAACAAAACACATTTGAGGTGATTTTACTTCAGTAAGTTTTATGTTAACGCAAATCTTCCTTATAATGTTTTATGGACTGCTTCACTCCTTTTTGAATAAATAAAAGCAAATTCAGTATTATTATGGGAGGATTTAGTGAGAAAATTCTAATATAACATGCTTCAAATTCTTATAACTAGAAACTGCAAAATTATTGCTAGAAGAATTTCAGAAGTCTAAATTATTTTCTATTATTCATATATAGGATCACAGAATTTTAGAATAGGAATATAATTTACTTTTCCTGCTGCACTTGGCTTGAACAGTACAAAAAGCCCTACCCAACTTAATTTCATGTTAATCTAGTTTAAATTTCCTCTTAGAAAGGAGGGAAAACTTGTGTTTTCAGAGAATTATGATGCTGGGACATCTTTACTGAGTACTTTATTTGATTTCCTACTTAGGATGACATCTGGGCTATAAGAAATACAAGGCTATAGATTTCATATTAAAATTTTTTAAAAGATATTTTAAAGATTTTTATTGATAGTTTGTTGAAAGCTTAGAGTTCTGTTCTTTTTAATTTTTTCACATTCAAGAAAAAGCTGAAACTCATACTTCTGTTGGGTAAGGGGAGGAGAAATAATTAATCATTTGTTAATTACCAGCATACTGGTAATGACCACGTCACTCTTTCAGTCATCTGTCAATCTATCCATCCATCCATCCATCCATCCATCCATCCATTCATCCATCCATCCATCCATCCATCCATCCATCCATCCAGATTTCTAGCCTTGTACTATGCATTTTTGAGCCACCCTATAGTTCCCTATCCTCAACAAGTTTTACAGATAGCTGGTTGGAAACTGAAGTAAGTGAACAAGAGTTTTCAAAATGAATAATTTATGTCTTTGTTTTGATTAAAACATTGACAGACTAGACAAGGAAAATCAAAGGCAATGTGAAGCAAGTTCTCCCTGACATTGAATTTATGAAGTAATATACTTGGACAACTTCCTTTTCTTTTGGCCCTTTTATCTGTGTGAAGGCTGTGCAAGTCGATAGGGCAGAAAAAGGATCTCCTTGCTGGAAATGCTGTTGTAAGCCCTAAGGAGTAGAGTGGAAATGATACCACATACTTCACAGCCAGCCATTAATATGATCACTCGGAGAACTTGCTGTGTATTTGGGGTGTGGGAGTCACCGTGGACTGGCATCTAACTCTTTCTCAAGGGTGTCTGAAGGGTGTTGAGCTGCTTTGATGTTACCTAGGGATCTTGCCTGCTGTGGGCCTTGCGTTTGTCAGCACAGAGGAAGCGTGCTTCTCCTGAGAGAAAGGGAAAGCTGGAACCACAGTGAAGCTTGCTGTGAGCCAGTGGGCAAGGGCTGATGGGAGACCTAGAGGACTAGTGTATCCCCTTTGGGTTGTCATGACAGTTGGAGGTAAGAAGAATTCCCAAGAATGGGAATCCCCAAGTGTTAGAAATTAAAAACAAAACAACCTTTGAAGGAAAAAAGTCAGCTGTACTTACTCATAAATTAGGAATTTTTTATTTGTTAAATCTGACAACTATACTTGATTCCTTTTCTCCAGGTTTATCTCTCAGCTTAAAGCTGAGTGAGCTTTGTCAAAAACAAAAAGAAACAGAGAAAAAGAGGGAGTGAGGAAGGGAAGGGAAGAGAAGGGAAGGAAGAGGAGAGGAGAAGAGAGTAAAGAAGAGGAGAAGAAGGAGGAGGAGGGGAGGGGAGGAGAGGGGAGAGGAGGAGACAGAAGAGACAGGAGAGGAGAGGACAGGAGAGGAGGGGAAGGAGGGAAGAGGAGGTGAGGGGAGAGGAGAGGAGAGAATGGGAATATGCTGGTCTTGGAAGCCAGGCAGCACCAAGTGTGTGATAGCAAAGTACAAAGACAGACTTTTATCATTTTAAAGAAACATTGAGGCGCTTTAAAATATACTTTGGGTAGAAAACTTCCTAATTAATGAATCTGGTTTTGTGATTAATGTCATCCCGGGACTGTTTTTTTCATATGAGTAAGCAGAAAATATTTGTCAACTTTACCTACAGAATCAGGAAAAGATTGTCTTCACCAAATCAAAATCTGAAGGGACAGAAATCGCCCCAAATCCACGTGTGGCTTGGTTTAATATCCACACCCACATATCTGGTGGGAGGGAAAGAGAGAAGACAGACATCAGAGACACCAAACCAGGGCTCCAAGAGGCTCTGGAACAGTGTCACAAAGAAGGAAGAGATTGGAAGATGGATTAAATACTTTCATTCCCTGCTGAGATCTCCACAGAGCAAATCCTTTTTTTTTTTTTTTTTTTGGTCTTTTTTCCTTTTTATCGGTACCAGGGATCGAACTCACGACTGCCTGCTTCCAAGGCAGGCGCTTATGCCGCTAAGCTAAATCCCCAGCCCCAGCAGAACAAATCCTAAGTGTTTTCTTTTAAATAGCTCAAGTCCCAAAGGATGAAGATAGCAGAAAATGAGGTGATAACTCATGTTTTGTAACCTGGAAAGCTGCTGAGTCGTAGAGGACCAAGAGGAATTTAAGGCTAAGCCCAGGCAGGGATGGATGGGATTCAACTCAACTTCCTCCTCAGAATATGCAGCTCAGAAATGGAGAATGTGTGGTTCTTTTAGAAGTTGGGTGGGTAGACAGACTAAAAGGGGGAGATTGGCTGAAAGTTAGTTTTTGAAATAAATGTCTGGATCATCTTGCCAGCTGTGGATAACCAGGCCGTGGGTCCTCCCAGGTGTGGCAAAGGAAAGAGTATTTTCTTCTAGAGGGAGAAACTTGACCTCCTTGAAGATGGAGGTATCATAGTGAGACAGGTCAGTTGACTGTACTAGGCATGATCAAAATATATGGTGAATGTTTAAATTTAATAAAAATTAATATAGCAAAAGACACATTGTTATTGATTCCCCTTGTCCTAGTTACTTTGGTCCTATGGCTGAAACAAAATACCTGACATCCAAATTTAAGGAAGGAAAGATTTATTTAGCTCGCAGTTTGTGGGGGTTTCAGTCCATAATCAGTTGACTCCAGTGCAAGCTGGCCCGTGGCATTGGGCAGCACTTTAAGGTGGCAGAAGACAGCAAAAGCAACGAGAGTAGAAGCAGGGAAGAGCAAAACCTCTTTTCTTCCCTTACACTGTGAGTGAGTGTAGCACTCAGACCATTTCCCTGTGCTTCTCTTGCACAGGCTCAGGATATTTACCAAGCAAGGACCCCAGCCCCCTGCTAAATTACTTAGTTGAACTTCTAAAAATCTCAAGTTGAGACAATGAATTAACCATTACAACATCCTGGAGTGTAAACAGCTCCTCAAGTGCATGTGCTCTACACCCCAGGATGCAGAACTGCAGAGTTACCTAGTTAAGCTTCTACACTTCTTAAGCTGACAGAATGTATCAACCATTACACCCCCCTCCCCCAAAATACTTTCTTTAGCTTCTTTAAGCACAGTTATCACTCGCCAATTTCTGAAGCATTTCTAGGAGTCTTTATGAATATTTTCAGTTGTGCAGTTATAATTACTTTGATGTCCTGAATTGATAAAACGTTTTTCCTTTCATGGTCATTTTGACTCTATGGAAGAGCCAGAAGTTACATAGCGGCAGATTCAGTGAGTAAGGAGGATGAGAACACACTAATATTTTTAGGAGCCTGATTTTCCATTTGATGGCACTTGGCAGCGGCACTCAAAATATTTTTGACTAAACTTTGTAAAGACAGTCGTGAAAGAGGACTTCTAGGACTGCTTCAGAAAGTGACAAGTATGGTAGGATATGTGTTTGAAGTAGCCATGTATAACATATTTTTAAAATTTAAACATGCAATTATATATATATATCTTAATCACTCCTTGCATACCGTAATTGGGTTGAGATAATTCCTGAGTCTTGTTATCTTCCACTGCTGCAGGCCATACAGCCAGGCCTTCACTCAGGGGACAGAAGATCTTTCTATGGGACATCTGACCATCCCAGGAGCAAAAACCTGAAGACAGTGACAGCAAGGCTTCCCTGTCTTGATGGCTGGGGAGACTGCCCAGTCTGATCAGTCTTCAGGGAAGTTCCCAGTTCATAATCCTCAAGTTGTGTTTGGAGGATTTGCTCTCTTCACACATGCAACTGGGTAGCTGAGAATGGCAACATGTGAGTTAAGCATTAACAGGGTACAGGAGTTTCAGCCGCAGAGCCGTAGGAGGTCAGAAGAGAGATGAGACAAATGGAAGGTGGGAGGGAAAGCGCAAGCCAAGCACACATCTCAGAATTGGAAGACTTGCTTTCTAGATTACAGAATTCATTAAAGAAATAGCAAAATGAAGTGAAAGGAGAAAATGGATCGAAATAGATTAGTATGAAATTCTAATACATTGGTGAAAAAACAGGAAATCTGCAAGAAAGGGAATGAGGTCAGAAGGGAGGGTCAAACAGGGATAGAGGAGAAGAGGAAGAAGAAGAGAAGAAAGAGGAAAAAAGCAATAAAATGATGAGGATGAGAAAGAAGACCGCAAGAAGACACTTACATCAGATTTTTCTTTAGCTGTAAGCCAGAAATTCGAAATTTTTATACTTAGAAAAAAATCTAGAAATGATGTGCAGTATAAACAAAAATAAAATGAAAAGGAAAGGAAAGAGAGAACAAGACAAACACAGGTGATAGGAAAGGGGTCCTCAAGGTGATGGTAAAGGAGGTCACAGGATGCCGGAGGTTTGGGCCAGTTTGTTCAGATTGGAGGAGCAGGCAGAGGTTTCTTCAGATAAGTGAGAATGGCATGACGTAAATCTATGTCTAGCGCAGTAAGAGGACAGCATGTATGTGGGTGTACATGTATGTAAGTACGTATGGGTGCTCGTGTGTGGGGATCGTGCTGAGGGCTTCACACACTGTAGCCAAGCTCTCTAGCACTGAGTCACATCTTCAGCCCTTATGATTTTATTTTGAGAGGTCATCTTGGCCAGGTTGGCTTCAACTTCATGAGCCCTTAGCCTGAGATTACAGGAATGTGCCACCACATGTGGCTTAAGAGAAAACCTACACAAATGATGAGGCATTTAGGAGTCAAATTTGTGAATATATAAAAAATTAAGAAAACAAAAACCAAGGTCATTTCTAACTTCTGGGAAAGCAAAAGCTCTTGCGAGGAAAGCAAAGAATCAAGGTGAAGGGGATGTTTCAGGATGCATGTATACATTTGAGTGCTGGGGAGGACAAGCAAGAGAGATAATAAATCTTCCTCAGTAGTGTCAGGTTAATAGATAAAAGTCTGAAGCCAAGAGCTAACAAAATCAGTATGTGGCAGCACAAATCTATTATTAAGAAAGATAGAGGTAAGGACTAAAATACCAAAGTAATTGCCTTTAGGGTGAAAGGAGGAAATAGGTGGGGACTGTAGGGTGTTATTATCAGCAGAGTGAACTGAAGTATTAAAATGAAACACAGTTTTTGCTTGTGGCTCTAGAGATCGAACCTAGGGCCTTGTACTTGTTAAGCAGGTACTTTACCATTGTGCTATGTTCCAGCCCAATACTTGCATTTCTCAAAAAGAAACCAAACCAAACCAAAACAAAACAAAAAGGTGGACATTAAGGGGAAGGCATGGTAGTTGGGTTACCAAAACTCCAGACAGAATGACACAGGGATGTTAGGACTCTGAGTGAAAGAGAAGGGGTCGGGGGTGGCACATAGCTCCTTTGAGTCACTAAGTTCAAGGTGAGTTTGATCATCAGGGGGCTGGGAGGAGCAAAAGGGCAGCACAGAGAGATGAAGGCAGAGAGTGGGCAGACTGACCAGATCGTGAATGGGCTTGATTTTAACCTAACACCAGTGGAAATCCAAGGAAGGACACTTTTAGTTTTAAGTAAGAAAAAACTCTAAAGTAGCTTAAGCCATAAAGAATTTTACTGTCTTCCGGGAGAACATGGCAGACAGATAGCAGATACTACAGAGGCTCTCTGAAAGGCTTGGTTCAGAAGTCAGGAATGGTGCGGACTAAGGAGACATAAGCCTGTAGATATATGCTCTGCTGACTCAGGAACGAACTGGGCTGAGAGAAACCAACTTGGAATGCAGTCCTGGTGCTAAAACAGGAACAGAAAAGCCTCGGTGTGGAGGCTGGACCCTGCGCCATTGGAAGCCGCGATTTGGGTTTCCCGCCGCGCCATGGCTGGCTGCCTCTACAGCGGCTCAGCAAGGAGAGAGACGCACAGAAGCTCTGAGAACGGGAGTCTGTGAACGGAGTCGAAAACAGGACAGGCAGGGAGGCATACACTGACTTGTGGTGAGGTGAGTGAGAGAAACTGACACTCTACCACAGTTTGACTCCAGCGGAGGACTTTCTGGGCTCGGGCAGTCCTGTGGGAGCAGGGTGCGGTGGTGACTCCAGCCACACATTCCCCTCTCGGATGGGATTGGTGAAAAGTGCCTGGCCTGCGTGACGCTGCTGGCGGACTCGGTAGGCTGGCCCAACCCAGATCCCAGAGCCTGACGGTGGCCCAGAGGGGCGACTCCCGCGTAGGCTGCCTAGTCCGTAACTCCCTGGTGCGCTGCGATGGGTGGGAACACCTAGCCAGTGCAATTCGATCAGGCTCTGGCTGACAGGGAGGGAAGCTGGGCCTCCTATGTAAGCTTGCATATATAAGGAACAGAGAATATGGGAAAAGGCAGCAACAAGAAAGGCTCCTCGGCCCCCAATTCTGAGAAACAGGCAATAGCGGACACTGCACCAATAGACATAAAGCGCCATATAGAGAGCCTCATAGACCAATTCAGGAATGAAGTTATCAACAACCTGAAGCTAGAAGTATGCAGAATAGTTAGAGAAATGCTAAGCACCACCCAGGAAAAAACAGATGGTGGAATGGAAGAACAGAAAAAGAGGGGAGAATTGTTTGATGGAGAAAACAGAGAAAGCATAGAGTACGTGAAGCAGGTTCAAAGGGACTACCAAGAAACTAAGAAGTCTATCCAAGACTGGCATAACAGCTTGAAAGAAACTAAGGACAGACTATCTGAACTGGAGGGCAGACTTGTAATATGGGAGAATGAAATGAAAAACTCCTTAAAAATAACAAAGAAACAAACAGCAATAATACAAAGACAAGAAGATGATAAGAGGAGCCATAACTTAAGGATTAAGAACATAAAAGAAGAAGTAGGGACACAAACAAGTGAACTACAAAAGCTACTCACAGAAATAATCCAGGAGAATTTTCCTAATTTAGCAAAAGGTAAAGATACTCAGATGTATGAGGCATACAGGACCCCAGCTACCTACAACCCAAACAGAGCAACACCCAGGCATATAATAATAAAAATTCCAGAAATTCAATACAAAAACAGAATATTAAAAGCTGTCAGAGACAAGAAACAGACCACTTACAAGGGAACACCCATCAGAATTACAGCAGATTTCTCTGCACAAACCATCAAATCACGAAGAGCATGGGGGGAAATAATTCAAGCTTTGAAAGATAATAATCTCCAGCCAAGAATGAGATATCCTGCACAATTGTCCCTGGAAATTGATGGAAAAACAAGGTGCTTCCAGGATAAAGAGGAACTGGGGGGAATTTGCAACCACCAATTCAACTCTACAGAAAGTATTGCAGGATATTCTAAAAAAAGAAAAATACAAAGAACCCAGAAATAGTGGCGGGGAGGCCACAACGAATGGAGCAGAGAACAAAATGAAGAAGACAAACTGACAGCTACTGACAGAAAAAGAGCTCAACAGAAATGAGGCAGAGAAGATTGGATGATAGGAACAGCTATTTTGGAGAAAATGACATCTTAATAGGTAATACTGATTTAGTATCATCTTGTTTTGAAGTCTCATCTAGCTTTTGTTCTTCTGTCTCCAATGGTCTAAATAGGTTGTATCTTACTGGATTTTATT